TTATCGCGATACTTGAATGGTACGAAATGGCACAATTTCATTGGTCAAGTAGACACCAATTGAAAATATATCTTAAATTTTTCCAGATATATTTTTTCCTAATGTTAACTTTAAGAAACTATCATTCACAGCCGAATATTAAACGGTAATCTGGCAACTAATGAAATTTTGCGAAAAATACACCAAATATTTAAACTCGGCATCCTCGAAAACCACTTAAATCATATTTTGTGCAGGCGGTAAGCACGTATTAAGTAATTTTCTAATCGAATGACACCATACCGCTGGTCCGATAAAAACAAGGGGCTGTTGTGAAAGAGAGCTGAAATAATTCGAGCAAAAATAGTCGTTGACCTCTACACGGAAGAGAGGATGCTCCACGATTACTCATTATTACCGGTCTACTGTTCATACTAGAAAAATGATCCGTGTTATGATGGCCCCGCAAGTGATCAAAGTTGCTAACTTTAACGTCCGTAAAACTTTGTATGACTTGTTTAAATAAAGAAAATCTTGAAAAAATGCCAGAATAATTGATTTTATGTAATAGTAAAGTATTTATATTTTTGCAACTGATTGTATAAATAAACTGCATGGTATGTATGTACTCGTAAATATCGCATTTATAGAGAAATTATAGGGCTGTAATTTGAAAAAATTGTAACATAAATTCTGTCTGTGGTCCGCCTGTCTGTCCTTCCTTAATCGCGAGAAAAGAATTAGATAGATAAACTTCGAAAGCAGATATAAAAAGCGTATGGGTAGGAGGCCTAGGTAACTATAGGACCTTCCTAATTAAACCGGAAGTTCCGTTATTTTAATTCAAAATTTTCTCCCGAAAGGAGTTAGATAAATTACAGGCACGACTCTATTCCTAACAGGAAAAGTATGATGTACAGGGGAACTACCATCACTAAAACAATTCATTATGACGAAAAGTTGCAGCCCGGCATTGTGACGATATCACACTAAATATTCGCTCGTTAGAATTGGTTTGGTTTATCTGGTTACCACAACGCGACGCGCGAGCTATCGCGGAGGGAAGGCATCCTGGGAAGACTTTTACGAGAAGCTTGACATTATTTAGGTTTACTAACATGAAGAAAATCCGGAAAACTGAACATGGCCATCCCGCTGATTATGCTCGAACCCACAAACTATCAGACTTTAGTGGTTTTATGCACTCGGCTACCAGAAGGCACTTATTACAATTAAGAAAGTACAGTTCGGAAATGAAAAACACGAGTTGTTAAATGTGGAAAATTAAATACTTATAGACTTTTCACAGGTTTTCACAGGCTGAAACACTTTTGATTTCACGCAGGCCAAGTGCTATGAGCTACCTGTCGCAGTAATGGCGTAATGGCGCATCTATTTAGTCCTATTGTTGCAGTAATCAAGTGAATATAATACATATTTTTTAAAATTATATATATATATTTTTAAGAATTACATTTAGTTTATTATTTAACTAAATATTTTGTCAATGGATTGCGCAACATGTAAAGCCAACAAATCGAATTTAGCTGGAAATGAATTGAATTAGACAAATCCAATAAATGTTTTCAAATGGGAATGACATTTTCTATGTTAGTGAAATTTGAACATGGCTGCCGAGTTTCGTAGCAATTGGTCGAAGAGCCTAGTAATGTATAACGAACAAACAAACAAACAAACTCATTTATATATACAGATTTATTTAGAACATTTTCCGTGTCTATAACAGTATAAGTACATAATTTACTTAAACATCTAAATTAACTGTAGAAATGTGTTTGTCTAATTATATGTACGAAAATGATCACAAATACTTTCTTGCATCTGCATAATCTAAATTTTAACAACTTTATGATAAATTATAATTTAAATACATATAGCAATTACATTTGATTGTTGTATATGATCAAAATCATTTACCTTTCTTCTTCCACGGAATATGGATTTTATCGGTTTCCGGTGGAAGATATTGTGCAAACAAACAATAAATAGCGATAGAAGATCCTGCTAGTAAAAAACAAACTTCTTGTGTATTAAAGTTTATTTTCAATGTAGCTAATAATTGTCGGTTAACACGTGGGATAACCCGGCAATGAGCGAGTCCGCTGATATCATCGAGCGACGAATTTAACAATAGACATTCACGGCTTACCATATAAGTTAAACGCTTTGGAGTCTACCTAACACGAGGAATCTGGATTCGACTTCGACTCGAATATTTTCGTGGGTGGTTCAAGTCGACTGTATCGAGCCACGTCTCTTCGCATTCCCGCTTCATTTCGGGCTGGGTTGAGCTCGTAACGGGCATAGAGAAAGGCACTTAAGGCCAGCAGGGCGAAGAGTGCAAAACAAATATCTAAATTTTATATGATCAATAATTTTCAAAAATTTTTATTTGTTATTATACAGAACTGAAAATAAAAATAACAAGTAAAATGATAATGTATTTTTTCGTGTTTGAATTAGAAATTTACGTTTACGTTTACGTATCAATACAAAGATTAAAACACGAGAAACTAACTTATATACATTGAAATAGCTAATTCTATGTTGGTTTATGTTATCTCATTCTCACAAATAAGATTAAAACTCTCGGACTTTTTGAAATTTATTCTTCTATAACTGTCTGTATTAAATGTAGGCTATATATATATATATAATGGAGTAGAATTAAAACATATAACTTTTCATAAACAGATATAACGTTAATTGTAAATTATTTACCCTTTAGAGAATTGAAACATTATTGCTCTTTCTGTCATTTTAATATTGGGTGCCGAATTTTCTTTCGGCTAAAAAAAAAACAAGTGAATGAAACCTTTCCCCTGCGTGGAGCTATATCGTGGCCGAAAAAAATCTGTTAACCTTTGTAAAAACTAAATTTTCTTCTTGTTCAAACACTTTATTAGGTGCAAAATTTACGAAATTTGAGTTATTAATTTAAACCATCGTATAATCATATACTAAACCGAGCCGGTATTAATAACTTAAAAGCCATCGTGTTATGTTTCTGTAACTTCTGCTATTTTTGTCCAATCCGGGTGAAATTTTGCTTACACTCTTTTCATATTTCGACGGAAAGTACAGGCCATTTGCGGAAATATTAATATTAGCTATTAGCTATATAAAAGTTTGATTTACCTTAAAAGTTGTACAGTATTTCTAAATATTTTGGCAAATTACGTAATTTTAAATTTACATTATTAAGTTTAAAATTTAAACATTAAATTCAAAATGTCGTATCGAGTCGCTTCTACAATATTTTTCACGCTCCGTAGTAACCGCGTGACGTTTTATTATCCAATCGGATCGGAAGTAACAATGCAATGAGCCGATTATTTAAAAGGTATTATCGCGCATCAATTGTGTTCCGACGAGCAGCAAAGGCTACTTAATTTGTAGAAATGTTAACTACTCTTCTGGCAGAAGTTGACGGCAATTTCTAGTTATAAACTAATAATCAAAAGATAACGCCCACCAAAACCAATATAGGATTGTAAACAAACGGAAATTCATTTCTTTTTTAACTTTGTGATTCGACTTACTTTTTGATTTGAACAAAACTATATGTTATTGGAATTTATTAAAATAATAAATGGGTAAGTATTAGAATTATGATTCGGCATTCTCTTCTCATTAGATGTCATGCATAATGAACAGTGGCATAAATAAATGATGTTTAATATATTTTTAAAGGTTAAAAAATGCAAAAGATAAAGTCCAAATAATTTTTAAAATGGGTTACTTAAAATCACTTTTCGTTAAAAACAATAGTTAAATATTCATGTTTAAATTACGCCCAACTGACCTTTTGTTTCGCTATGGTCATTACTCCAGAATCCACTCGTACTTCTACCCTCACCGGAAAGTGTATTTGTACAATTTTTTCGATGCTATCATCTGTTTATTAATAAGGTAAAGTGCCCAAATATCGTCCCCCTTAACAAAACGCAAAATTTCTCAAATAAGGTTGCAGTTAAAAAAATGCGAAAAAATTCTCGAAGATACTCAATAAGTTATTAACAAATCGTAAAATTAATATTTAACCAAATGAATCATCCTTGTCGCTGAATAAACCAAAACGAAAATATTCTAACTTCTTATATTTAGGAAAAGGGATCTCAATACCCTCCCCCTACCCATTCTACAGTTATTTAATAATTTACAGTTAAAAATCCCCTGAAAAAGTAACGAATACTGCCAGTAGAATTTAATAAAATTTAAAACATTTTGAAAGAAAAAACAGTATTAAAATAACGAAACTATCCGAGCAGAGATCGCATATAAATTGCTTTCTTTTTGGTGGTAGCAATGTAGCATTTGGTGTATCGGACCCATTTTCCCCTTGTTTGTTCTGAGATAATGATTTTCAGACGAAAGATCGTTGCACGTGGGGGTCGTCACTGTCATCTTCGTCTGTTGATACGTATGGAATTTCTGCTTCATCCTGTGAGTCATTTGAAGTCGAATCACATTTCCTCGTTATCTTTGCAGCTTCGCACATGATGTTCTTGGTTGGTTTTTGGTCCCAAATCGATTCGTTTCTTAGCCATAGACTGTGTCTAAGGACAAACTGTGTTTCTTTTTTTGATTCTTCACGTTTTCACTGTTTCTGAATGGAGGATTGAAATCTTGTCTTGTCACCTGTCATCAAAAACCATGTGCCAGCTCTGTAGGCCGTGGAATGTCGGATGATGAAGCAAAATAAAATAGCTTTTATACAGACTTCTTAAACAATAGGTAAAATAAGCAAAATAAGCGAAATAAAATAACTCGGGAGAAGTTTGTGCCTAAATCCGTCCCCGAGACGAGTTTAGGAACCTCTTAGAGGAACGGATTTAGAACCACAACGTTTATAAATATGGCAGCCATTCTCTGTCCACCCGCTCAACCCACAGGCGATTAATTGATGGAATAGTAGCTACATATATAGTAAAAGAAACGCTTTATAACTTACCTTAATATGTCGGAATGATGTTTCGAAGCTAAAGGAAAATTGTAGCGCACTACTTCAAATCAATTTTCCTAAATTACGCGGCAACGGACAACAAACCTGTCACCATATCACCTATCAATCAGTGGCTGGCTAATTCAGCCAGTGACAGTGTCATCAACGTTAGATATGACAGATATGACAGGTGACAATATTTAGGCACCTTACCTTACCTAATTTTGGCTCGGCTTATTATATAATTGTATATATACCGAGCCTCGATCAAAGCTTGAACTGGGTTGAGATCACGGAGAACACAGGGAGCGTAGTCGTCCCCAGTTCCTCTGATCTGTGGCTAGTATGGTTATATCTTCTAATAATTACTCCGGTAGCCAAGTTCGGACAAAGATCCGGCTAGCGTTATTGGCACGGTAATCAGAAATTTCGGGTTCCGCTCCGGGCCGATTTTTCCTCTCTAAATATACTAAATTAATTAATTAAATACTAATTATTAAATTCGATACCAGATGGCGATGTAATCGCCTTCCTTTAGTCAAATTACATAACTCCTATACATTTAACTAGCCGGGTTATAGCCCGTAATTAATTCAGCATTTTTATTTTATTAAAAGACAGTCAACTGACTTTTGGTCTGCTGTACAACACAGATTTCTGGAATATTTATTTAATATTCTAATTTGAAAATATCTCTATTTTCTTAGCTCTTCAAATAAAAATAATATTTCAATTAATTTTTAATGCACAAATTTAGTATGTTATTTTGAATACATTTATTGCAAGATTCGATATAAATAAACTGAAATAATCGCGACGTTTTCAAGCGTACGTTTTGAAATTTTGCTTGGTCTTAAAATCGTTTACATATACTAACGATGTGTCCACGAATCACCTTAAACCCATAAAAGACACTTAAAATAAGCACGAATATTTCGTCCTCCGACGATTGTAATTGCAGATGATGATGATCTTTAGCCTTCTCCTGTAAGAGTATTTTCCGTTTTGTCTAAACACTCGGCAACTTGGCATTGAAATTTCCATTCCGTTTCTTCTTTCTATCAAAATATATACAAATCTATGAGTCTCGTTTACTCCTTCGCTACGTTCATCGACGAAGTAGCGCTATAATACAATGCTACCAACGCGTTATTAATTTTTTGGTGTTATAATAAATTCAATTCGTACCTCCCGATCTATCTTGCAAGGAAACTTTTTCCTGGTGCAGAATTTCTGTTTGGCACATTTTCCAAATTTCTGCATGCATCCGAAATCGTCACGCGAGCACTTAATGCAGCTGTGTTCTCGTTCCAAATAACGACATGCTCTACACGAAGTATGTTGACAACTTCCTTGGCATTCTTGAAGTTTCTCGGCGTTATCGCTGATTATATCGCAAAAACAAAAGCAAAAAAGAAAAAAGAATTATAAAAACAAATTTAAGTGTATGTAAACTTACCCACTACATATTTATAGATATCTTCAGACCTTGAAGTTATTTCTAAAAGCGTATTTTCCAGTTACTCCTTTTCTTACAAGAATATATTTTAAGTCGTTTACCACCGAATTCGACGCTTTTCTCCACTTCAATATATTTATTATTATCGAAAAAAATGAAGCTTTAAACGTTTTCAATTATTTACAGCCTTTTAATNCCCGCAACTTTGGCACACACCGGGCAGCAGTTACACACACCTAGAGTAATGCCACCTTTACACTTTAACCGATGCAATTTGGGCCAACAATGAAGCTTCCTGCAGGGTGGGCAGTGAAGGACGTCTCCGTGGACTTGCAAGTCTTTATCTTCGGCGTGGGATTGTAAACTCAGTCTCCACGCTATCAATAGGTAGAAAACCGTAGAGAACATGCCCGTCTGTCAAGGTGAAGTTCGGATACGGATAAGCTTAACTCCTGCCGAGTACGGACCGCCTTCTATTGTTGTTGAGAGGAGATAGATATGGCTCGACTAACAGATCTCTATCTGTTTGAACGAGGAAAAAACGTTTTAAAAAAAACTCTCGAAAACAGCAGATGTTCTAAAATTTACTTTTTACTACTTTAATTTATTAAATTTTATGATAATTATACCTTTAAATGTGTTTACAAAGGCGTAATGCTCCCAATCCCAACCCTTCCCACATGAAAAATTTATATAGTAAGCCGGCAACCACACCTTAAAACATTACAACGTGCTTTTAAAATAAATATAATGATAATAATAAATCCCACAATAAATAATATAAAGAGAAAAAGAGCGTGTTTCTTGTTTTGAAACAAGAAAAGAAATTTTTTCTTTCATTTGTAAACTGAAAAGATCAGTTTTATTTATAGAAATAAAAAAATCAATTTCGTTTATTAAAAACTGAGAAAAAAAAATCATTTTATAAAGCATTTCTTTTATTCATTTTTATAATTAATGAATTTTTAAACTAAAAAAATAATATTAATGGCTGATTTTTATGTGCAAAAAATTAATTAAATTGTTTATTAAGTTTATTTTTTTTATCTAATAACGATGATCTTAAGTATAAAAATGTGATTTTCTATTTATAAACTAAAAATATATTTAAGGAAAAGCAGAAATGTTCTTAAAATTGAAAACACGAGAAGTGGGAAACAATTTTAAATGATATTCTTAATTAAAATATTTTCTATTGCTGAACTTTTCTTACATTTTCCCCGATTTTAGCCGAATATTCGGATTTTTAACGTAAAAAATTTAAATTTTAAATGTTATAAACATCTACTCTAAATCGTGAAAGTATTCTTAAACTAGTTTATTGTCAATCCTACTCAGTCCGATACATGCCGATAGGATAAAGTGCTTTAAGAATTTCAAAACGGCGAGTTAACTAAATAAACTTCCTGGGGTGGCACCGATATTATTTTATAAGTTATACAAATATTTATAATCTCGTTAAAGAGAAAATTAAATTTTGTACTTACATTGCGGAACATATAGCTTTAGGATTTTTACTACAAAATTCCCAGGTACATTTAGGACGACAGAAGGTGGAATGAGCCTGGTCGGAGCTTAGTTCGGGCGATCCTGCATTAAAAAATGATTAGAATCAACACGGGGGAAGAGGAAAAAATCCCCCGCGGATAACTTCCTGGTCCAGACGTCTACGACAGCTCTGAACAATTGTTTGCCGGTTTTCGGTTAGACGAAGGCACAAAAAGGGAAAAAAATAAATCCCTTTGGTAAATAAACCGAGCGTCAAATTCGTTTGACCGCCTCATCGTTTATCTCCTGCATCCTCTAGACTAAAAATAACGGTGACAAATTTTTCTCCTACTTTCTGTCGATTTTGGATAGAATTATGCCACGCGTTTAACAACGGAACCGCGAAAATTCCCCTCCAAACACCTATTTTAACCGTTAACATTTTTCTTATCGATTACTTTATGCGGTCAGCACCATTAAATTCTTCAATAAATTTACTTTTAATGCATTTTCCTATTTACTTTGTTAAAACATCGATAACGGCCGTCCCAGTTTAAACCGACTGCCTCTCTGCATTGCCAATATTTTAAATTTACTAAAAAAACGAAGCGAGTTTCGTTTATTTATTAATCGGAGGTGACGAAAACACTTAGTTTCTTCACACCTTGGACGTGGCACGGGTCCAGATGGATTTAGCTGCTTATTCAATTAGCTTTACAACCAGGTTATTGACTCCTAGGTCTTTTTCCATACTCCGTACTGTTTCGTGCCTTGTTTTACGCATTGTTTGAAAATTCGAATAATTAAATGTCATTCGACATCCCCCGGGGCATGGTCTTCCGCCGTAGGTGTCTATATATAGCGAGCAATTAGTAGTGAAAAATTTGTAGAAGGGAAAACGCACCCCGCCGTCGAGAAATTCTAAATTTATCTCTAACGCCACTTCTCCCATATTAATAACGTAAAAGTCTCACCTGGCTTACAGATACCCCTGCCGATGCTAAACACTTTTTTAGTATCTTCCACGACGTAGCTGTATAAAGTGGCCTTCTGCGGTTGGCAGTAGAGAGACCGGTCGCATTTTCCCAAGTAATTCCACTGTCCGCNACGTAAGGCGAAATATTCCCCGACGTGGGAAGTAAACCACAAATCTATCACAAAGGCGATTAATTATTAAATAGCCCGATTTATCCGATCGAATTAAAACACCTTTGTCTTGGTGGAATTTTTAAACAATTACGAGAGTCGATAATTGAGAGATTTGTTTATTTTTTAAATGCCCGTTGGCTAAATTAAACTATCGCGCTTCTTGCCCATTGTAGAAATAAATAAATGTAGAAATAACAGATTTTTTATACTTAAAATAGTTATTTACCTGTGAAGTTCGTTGCGCCACCTGCCGATTGCGAAAGAAATTTAAATTCTACGTATACAGTACGGTAACGAATTTATTTTAAAATACAGTATATAACTTTTCTGTTTAAGAACCCGGTCGCGCCACCTGCCGAATTTCTAGGTCATAAACCCCCCTAACTTCTAAATTGCTGAGAATGCGTAATTTCGTGTGGGATGACATCTCAAAAATAATAAAATTGTGGCCCAGGCTAACATTTAGTAAAAGTACCGTAAAATGCGTTCCGTTGTTTTCGCTACAAATAAGATTGATTACCGATAGTATTACGCATTCTTTTAAGATTTATATAATTTATCCAGTTTACTGCATTTAAAACAAAAATTGTAGTTTGATTTTAGGTTTGTGACATTGATAGATTGCATAGTTTTGCAGTCGCTCTTCCATATTGATTCGAGTAAACAATGACAAAAATCTTAAAAAGCTTTTTCTTTTAATTTGCAATTGAACTATTGCACCGCCTGCTCAAATTGAAACCGGTTTTCCTACTCCTTTGTAAAAAGTGGTTTACATATTTTTAAATGGCGTCTTGTAATAAATTTCTAACTATTTGAAAGCGACAATAAAAACTTCAAAGATTTTTATAAAAAAAAAAAAAAATAAATAATAATAATAATTTTAAACATAAATCTCGAAGTTGTTTTATTAAAAAATGACACCGCGATATTCCCTTTTTCCGACAATGCAATATTTTATATTATCTATTATTTAAACTGCCTGTTCGCTAACGCCATCTATCATCAATTAAAGAAAAATTTCCATAGTGTATATATATATATATATATTTCTTTATTTTTCCAAGATTGATTTTGATATTTGTAGATATAAATTCTGAAAATACGGCTATGTATATATATCGTCTTTACAAATTTGAATATAATCCGGAAGAAAATTGGATTATATATCTTGTTTCCGAAAGATAAATTGACATAGTACTATTATAAATCTTTCCATCTTTGATCGCTACTATTTTTCTTTATTCTTTTAAAAATGTTATTCATTTTTTCTTTAAAGATTGAAACATACTTCACTTTCCTCCCCTTTATCTCTTCTTCTTCCTCCTCCTCCTCCTCCTCCTCCTCTTCCTCTCCACTCTTTCGACAAGTAAAAGTAATTATTTAAATTTTACGTCGATACGTACTGTACGCAACAGGGAACCGACGATTATTTTCTGTCGTCCATGCCATCAATCGTATTTAACCGATGCTTAAGAAGAATTATTTTAAACCATTAAAAATAGTTTTACCGTAATCAAAAAATATGTTCCCCCTACTTTGCGTTTTATCGTGATACTTTGCATCGTTCCTCGTCGAACGTGTGAAACGAACTTTATGCAAACTGGCTGTTTTCTTGGTAATTTACGGCACGACTTAACTCTATTATTGATTTTTGTATGTGAAAAATGTTGTTTAAATGGTTTTGTCTAGAATATATTTAATTTGTTTTTCTTTTTTAGAATTTTGATTCTGTTGGATTAAGTCTCGTTTAGCTGATGTTTTCCAGCGGCAAAAGTAACGTTTATTAAACATTTTGAATCGCACTGGATTTAGAAAACTGTATATAAACATCGGTATTGTATATTTCTGTTCTTTCGAGTCGTGTATAAACACAATTCCGAACAGACTTGGAGATTTTTCTAGAACATATTTAACTTTGTTGAATTTTGGTGAATATGACTTATGATTATTGAACTAGATGTAATTTATCTGACATTTTTCGGGCTGCAAAAACAATTTTGATTGCAGTTTTTGGGGTGGAAATTGATTTAGATTGTTTTCGAACTGCGCCGTTCTAGAATAGTGGTATTTTTTCTTGCGAAACGAATTTCAGTTGCTTTCCAGATTTTTCTGCTTTATAGAACAAAAAAAAAAAATGTTATTTTTCACTGCATACTTTTTCGCTAGTATATTTTGTATTCAAGTTTCCAATAAAAGTTGGGTCCGAGTCCTTATTCTTGAACTGCGACTGAAGACTTTCTCTCCATTTAGAGAATTGTGTTTGAAGTTTTATAGTTGTATTTATTGATTTATAAATCATACAGATATAAAATTCTAGATTAAAGTTTCTTTGCCCAAGGATTTATTTCTACTTTACAATCGAAATTGATTTGAAATTAAATTAAGGATTTTTTTATGTGAGTTTATATAAGAAAACAAATGGAAGTTTAAGAATTTCTGCTATGAAATTAGAAGTTTTAAGAGAAAATTGCTTAATTTTTAATTATCTAGAATTCATAATGATATGAAAACTATAATCTTGAGTGAAATAAATTTTAAAGCAGATTTGTAGAAAGAAAAGTAAATTTGCTTTTAGTAATTTTTTCATTTTGTAAACAAGTTTAAGCATAAAACTACAATTATAATTATTTTGTTATGATATCAAATAGATTATATATCTCGTAAGTATTATAATTTTTAGTTCTATGGTTCTAGAGAATTACAGTACAAAGTACAGTACACTCATACTTTAAAGTGATTTTTATTATCTTTCTCTTTATTTTTCGAGTTTCTGTAAAATTTGGCAATATAACAAACAATTTAAAATAATTTTTTTTTAATTTTCTGAAGTTGTATAATTAAAGATTCTAACGAATTTTTCAATTTTAAAATATTCTTCATTCGAGAAGTCTCAAATTAAAACTTGATAATATATTTTATAGATTGTTAAAAATTTTTTAAAAATATTAAACAGCATTAAAATACATAGAAACACACGTAAAAACTATTCGAATGTGAGTCAATTCGCCTTTAATTAATTAAGTTAAAAGCAAAATAGACAACTTTATATAAAATTAATTTTATTCAAAACGCAAATTATATATTTTAAAAAATTCATCAAAATTAATTAATTCTAACTTTAAAAAAAAAAATTAACTCGACGTTTAGTTAATTTTCAGTTGAAATTAATTGGAAAATTTATTATTTAATAATTAACATGAATTTTTCATTTAGTTTAATTAAAATTAAAAAGTAAAAACACAAAACAATTTTCTTAATAATTTAATATAATAAATTTCAATAAGTTTAATATAATCATTTAAATAAAACAGTGAAAATTTAAGAGAATTAAAAAAAAATTAAAGGAGCATGATAAAATTCAAAAAATTTTATTAACAATAGTATAATTTTATATATATATATATTGTGTCTGTACATAGATATATTTAGAATATACATAATACTATGCAATGCATCCTGAAGCATAAAGTTAAGGTTACAGGCCGAGCCAGCATTTTACCTGATGTAAACAATTATCATCGATACAATTTCCTCCGTTCATTTTCACAAATTTGCTTCAATATTGTTGGTTAAAGTCCGTTATTTTAAAATTTAAATTTTTCTATATAAACTCGCTTATTGGTCAAGAAATTGTACGTTTCAAATGTCACACAGTCGGCAAGAAATTTGTGATGGTTTCCGTCGTTATAAATGTCGCTAGCTCGGCTTATACGTAATTAAACTGAAAAATTTCTCCGAAAAATTAATTCGTGGGTGCAACAATATTTTTTTTTTTTAAATTCAACGCGTAAAAATCTACAATATTTTTTTATTTCTTGGAGATAAAAAGTGCCAAGATAGCGTTCGATCGTAACGTGTTCCGTGCCAATTTTTCAATTATTATAAACGCGAAAATATTTTTAAATAGCACTATACGTTTATACATATTATATATTCATATATATATATATTTATATTTTATTTATTATATACTGTATATAAGGAATGTTACTTATATACAATTGGTGATTGTTTTGCATATATGTGTAGAGAATGGATGCTAATGTTTGGAGTGGAAGTAAATATATATGATGGAGAAAAACCGAAAAAGTAATTGAAAAAACAAGTTTTAATTTCGTATGAAAGCAAAATGAGATTTTGTTTACTCGTGGGGTAAAAAATTGATAAAGTTTTTTTTCGTAGGTTCGGATGATGTGGGCTTTTTTGTGTGTGTGTGTATATGTTAATGAATTTGTTGCAAAATTAAACTGCCAGAAAAAAATTAGTAAAAAAGTCTTGTTAAAAAATTCCGTAAGAGAAAACGAAGAAGTAATTTATTCAATTGTTAAAGTCTTTCGAGCATCTTTCTCTCTCTCTCTCTCTCTTTTCCTCTCTTTCTTAATAGTTTCTAATTAAGTTAAATATAACCCGCTTCATTCGCTTATAAAATTATTTCTAAACTTCATAAATTCTGTTCGTGTTTACTTTTTTTTCGGTAGTAAATTATTCTGGTCGTAACTCGATATATAAAAGTCAAACCAAACTCTACTAATTTGATACGGTTACTCGCCGAATTTGCTTATTTATCTTTGATTATTTTAGCGTAACGACTCCATTAAAACTTTTTTAAAAATTGTCACATTTATATATAAATCTTGCCAAATTTTGTATAAAAAATTAATTATCTTCGATTATTACATGTTTTTTTTTCTTAACCATTCGTTCGCAACGTAATCCGGTTGATAAATCTTTCCCTCTCTACACGTTTATGTATTGCATGTGTGTACAGTATCGAGATCCTCATCCACTCGAGAGAGAAGACAGGAAAGAATAATCGATCGTGCTACCTGACCAGACTCACTGTTAGCTCGAATTAGATTTACAAACGCAGCAAATGTCTCCCACGTGTCTATAGATAGCACTTTTGCGTCGTCGTCTCCAGTTGATCACAACACCTTCCATCAATGCTTTACCAGCTGCAAACAGATAAAAGTTTTCCTAAGTAACACGTTAAAAAAAACTAACTCCTAGAATGACGTAACGATAAAATATTGAAAGTTTAATGTTAAAATGCCCTGAAAGTCATTAAATTTCAGAATTAGAAAATGCTTTTCCGCTATTAAAAGGGTTTCATTATAATCTTAAACTTCATTATAGAAACAAACGAGTCGTTTCCATTCCCGTATAATGTCTTGAAACACAATTAGATAATTAATGATAGCTTCATTTCAGAATTCAGCGACTATAAATGTAGAAAATGAAACTGAATTAAACTCTGCACTGTGTAATTTTAAGTGCCAAACGTTTGTGTTTGTTAACAAACCTTCCTCATATTTCTAATGCTCTTGATTTTTCCCCTTACAATTCTGTTTTTTTAATTAAACTAATTATTATTTTTTTGCAAATTAATTACTTATAAACTCTAGAATATAAAAGAACAGAATACTTACAGTTCGTTTCGTGCGGCATAAATTCTTGCATTTCTTCCAAAATTTTTTCTACCGTTTCCGCATCCCTACAACGTACAAAAGGAGATTTATCACAGATTTATACCGCATTATCTCCTATAAATTAAAAACTAAAAAAAAAATTATTCGAAAATTATTTATTATCGAAAATATTCAAAAAATGCAGTGTTTTTCTTTTTATAACCTTGGTAGATTTCGATTATTTACATAATTTCTTTTCTATTTTAATGAATTTTTTCCCTGTTATCCCCGAAAACACCTTTCGGATTTTCGTAGTAAAATAGAGTAATATGTAAATATTCTATATTTTGAAATTTAAATTTCTGTTTTTTTTTTTTTTTTTTTTTATTTTTAAATCGGAGAAGGAGAATCTGTTTATTCCGATAATAAGCTAAGTGCAGTCGAGAATATTTAACCCCAAACCGCCCAGCTCCTGTTTCGTTTAAAGGCTAATGTTTTTCCCTACCTCTTATGATAATTTGCTACCAACCGGGATTGTACTGTACACTATATAAATTATTAAACACGCAACCGAAATTTTAAAATAATAATAAAAGAAAGACACAGAAACCTGTCGATTTTATGAAGTTCGTCTTGGTGGTAATTGACGGGAGGTGGCCTCCAAAGCACTAGTTTATCCAGAACCGACATCCCCGAAGATCCTTGTCGCTGCTCTGTAAGGGGGAAAATTCATTAGTCGCATGCATTTTTCGGCCGTATTTTGTATACAAATGTATAAAGTGACGTTTACCGTAATAATGCGACATTTCCATTTTGTTATTAGAGATTAAGTGTTTACATTTTCGAAGTTCTCTTAATAGTAATTGGGAACAGCATACCAGATTAACCAACTGCTGACTATCTACTGGAATACCAGCCGTAACATCGCTGAAAATAACGTATTATTTAACTAATTTATTATTTTACACAGCAATAGTAATATCGCTAGAAACATATTATTTAATAATTAGTAGTCACATATTTTAATTACTCTTAATTGCTTATCTGGATACGGCTGTAACATTGCCGAATATAACAGGATACTTGTAAAGTCGCTAAAAAATCTATTACTTAACCAATTGTTAATACGAGATTTAATATCGCTAAGTAAAAATATACGAGGAAGTTGTATTTTCAACGTATTTGCTGATTATCGACTGAAATATAAACTGTAAAATTACTAAATTTAAACATTACGTATTGATATACACTAACGTAAGTGTAATATAGTTTAAAATATCATTTGTAGTTAATGATAATCTATCGAGATATAGGGGAGATCGGGGCAAGATCGGCATGTTAAGCTTTACTTAAATTTTGTGTAATAAACACTGCTGTAAACTGAAAAAAAAAGCTTTGCATATTGTCTATTGGAATGTTACCTTACTATAGAACTGGTTAAAATCAGTTTGGAAATAAAAATAATTAAAATAATTACAACTTTACAAGAAGAGAGAAATTGACGAAGTTGCCCCGGGTATAGGGGCAAGATCGGCAACTTCTCTCTTTTTGTAAAGTTGTAATTATTTTAATTATTTTTATTAAAGTTGCCCCTGGTATAGGGGCAACAGTAATGGGGCAAGATAGGCACGTATATAAAATTATGTTATTAACAATGTATAAGTTGGAATTCACTATTAAAACAAAGAAATACAAATCCAACACCCATTTAATATTATTACAACGAAATGCAAGTTCAAAGACATATATACATGAATAACAAATGCAAACATGTTTTCATTTATCATCTGTTTGATTTTTATCCTTTGCTTCTAATGTGGCTTTATGTTGCCGATCTTACCCCGCTAGTCATGATTTCGAAACATTAAGTACAACCCTGAGAACAGAATGCCAAGCCACGATCTGGCCACGTGAATAAGTTGAAGTTACATCCTTCTAACAGGAAAAGTAACTTTCGTTATCATGGAATTATAACAAAACCTGCCAATTCAATATAAATGGAAAAAAAATATTATATGGAATTGAACGAAAATGAAAATTTGCTTGATAATTCAACTACGCTTGTTGGAGAACAATAAAAACACTACACTCAACAAGCCACCAATAAAACTCAACTGCCTAACCTATAACCAAAGTCTCCTTTTAATTTGTTTTTTAAAAAAAGCGCTTGACAAACTTGCCCCGCATGACGAAGTTGTCCCGATCTCCCCTAAACTAAAAACATCGCTGAAAATGTCCTCAAGTATCATCTACAAGACAAACACTGCAGCAACACTGAAAATGCACGTTTCATTTAACTACTATCAGATACAAAGCTACAACATTTCTGCAAATGTAACAAATTATTCAATTGATAAACAAAAAGAACAAGGTGAAATTTTCTTTCTTTCCTTCTTACAAACAAATAACGATTTTTTTTTTTTTGCCATGTATGCAAGATGAACCATTAAGAGAAATTGCTGATGGTTGCACAGATTGTAGTGACAGAAATAACCTTTGTGGAAATGTCAGAAATATCCTAAAGCTAAAATTTTACTGAAAAAAAATCAAAATAAAAAAAAACGAACAGAAAATCTAAACGATTGTTTTCAAAATATAAATAAAAAATATTCGGTTTTATAGAAGTTTTTTTTTTCGAAATTCTTTCTCATCGCATTAAATTTTAAATTGATCTTGTAATGATAAGATTGAAAACGTTTCTGTATAGAAATATTTTATTAAAAATCTAATTTTTATTGGTTACAAATTTTGCTTTTTTTCGTATCTTTCCTCTGATATCGTTTATACGAAAATTTATGAAGAGATGTACATTATGTATGAACGATGATAGTAAATAATTATTTGCTAACACGCCTGTTTTCTCATTGATAATTGCATAAGTTACTAACAAGTAATTAATAAAATATAACTTTCTGAACTACCATTACTGTTTGATGTCTTCGTTAATTAAAGAGAAGTAATATAAATACTTCGTGGATATCCCTTGTTCTTGAGAATTACAGTCGAACCCCCTAAAACAATGTTGATAATTCCGTTTTATATGAATTCCATGTTGTACGAGTCACTTAGATTTTACAAATACGTGTGCCGGGCTGTGAACGGCTCACGATTGCCCTTACAGAAACTATACAAAAAATCCCAAATACATAAGTCTAGTTTTTATTTTTTAAAAATTCATAAACTTGTATTAAAAATTTAAAAATTTTATTATAAGATGAGCAAAATATATCATCGTTAGCAGAAACAATGTGCATAGAATGTGACCGTTATACGGTTTATTTTGAAAGTCGTTCCACGGATAATATTTAATAAACAATTATATTTTCCTGAATTGTATCCTTGATATGCGCTAAAGATGTATACTTATTTACTCTTTATGAACTTTTTTAATATTTAAATTAATGTAGCGTGTAACGAGGATGAATTATTCATGAAATGCCTGGATATGAATATTTATCTTCGACCTCGACATCATTAACCGAGTATAAATCTGAATTTTCACTAACGAAATAAGTAAATACATTTTATTTTCTTAATTATAAAAACGGATTTTATACTGCCGCAACAACGTAGAGATTAAAATATTGTTGTAAATATAGAAAAGAAGCCTGTATAAAGAGAACCTACCATTCTTACCTCCGAATTTCTGGTAGAATTATTTGGCTAGCTGAAGTACACGTATCGACACATTTCTTTCTCGTTTGTTTGATTTTGTCACGAATTTCTGGGCTGTCTTGAGGTTTTCCGACGCATATCAATAGATCACGTAAAACTGCCACTTGGATATTCATGTCTTCGATCATCTGCAAAGAGAATGCTAAAGTATTAAAACTTTGTAATATGGATAAAAGGTTCTTATTAAAAATGAATTTTTAAATTTTTTAAAAACTTTCTCCACCTTACCCCCTTCCTTTGGGACATTTTAATAGTTTATGTTGTTGGAAGACGAAGGAAATTGCTTTCTTTTTTATCCTCCAAGGAAGAACTGCTCTTTCGTCGTCTACTAAATCGATTTTTATCAAAGTCGGGTAAATTAGTAATTTGATTTTTATGGATCATTTTTAATGAAGTGATTTTTCTGCTTGTCTGCTGTGATTTTTAAATTTTTCCTCTGGCTTTTTTTGAATAAAAATATTTGTTTTTTCTTAGTTTTCGAGGGATTCTTTGAAAAACCGTTACTTGTATTCTTCTCCGATTGACTTATAATCATTCCATTTAATCATTTTTTATTTTATCTAACTGGAATTTTATAAACTCCAGTCTTTATAACTGATTTATTTCCTTAAGTAGTAGTCATAATCATACGAGCCTGCTGGTCTTATTGTTATAATTATCAGACTTATCACACACGTTTCGTTCTACAGTATTCAGTAGATTAACAGACAAAGCTTATATCTAACCGACTTAGTTCCATTCATAAAATGTTTTAACACGTAAACAATTCTAAATTACGTAATTCATAATTTAATTTTATGTAATTTTTCTACGGATTTCGTTTCTTATTGAACGTATTAGCGACTTTTGAAAAGGAAAAACTTTGTTTATAACTAGAAAACTTCATTAAAATTTATTTAGCATTATGATTTAAAGCATAAAAATCAAGATTCTAATAAGAAATGTAATAATGTCAATCGGATTAAATGGAACTACAACGTTCAATAAACAAAGTAGAAACAAATCTACTCATTTATTCATATTTTCATCATTTTTGTAAGTGTGAAGATATTAAAATTCTCAAAAAAAATTTTTTTTACTTTTTAAATCAATAATTTAACGAAACCTTTCGAAGTACTCTTCGTATATGAAACTTGACGAGTCCATTTTATATTAATGATACTCACCAAAAATTTTCCTTTAATATTTTAAAATACTTTGGTAAACTTATTACAAATTACTAGAGAAAGGTCGAAAGGAAGAATTAATGTCGCTATCTTCTTGATTTATAAATCTCTACATCGATCCAATTTGGTAGATATTATCGCTCTAAGCTAAATTATCGATTCATTCTAAGCTACCAGAACATTAAAAAGCTTTCTTCCTAATTTTCAAACAATTTGTTACAGAACTGGGATTTCCAACCTTCGCTAATAAACTATTCGTGTTTAGAGCCACTTTACGATGTGCTTAAATTCTTCACTTCTACCATTACACTTCTGTTTCATCAGTAATTGAGAGACGACACAATAAACGTCCTTCAACTTAACTCCATTGTTTTTAATTATGTAAAAAATACTACGATCGTTAAAAATATGTTAGGTTCCTTCGTGGCATTCGTTTTAGCTAATTACGACGAGGTTTTACCCATTTTGGCACTATAAAATTAGTGTTCAACTCGAACGTAGCAACGTAACAAGAGCTTTCGACCTTAGGAAACGTAACGACATTTAAGAAATTAAGCTGAAAATTTCAAGAAAAATCTAACTTTATTGCGAAGTTTACAACGCCTGTGATGAATTTTACAATAAGATAAACGTTACAATATATATACAGTATATATATATCGAGTTAATTTTATAATTGGTCGAGAGAAATCCTAGTTTAAGAAATGATCGGAGTAATGATTTTCTTCAAACATTTAAGATAAAAGTTTGGTATATTTCGGTGAAATTGGCAAATAATTTAATTGTAGAACGTAGGAAATGAACCCTGCCACTATATCGAGCGAACCTTACACAATTAACTGCACCATAAAACACTCCGAGTGATGATTATGGCACATCAAACCAATGTCGAGGACATCGAGCGTAATTTACACCGACGAAGTAAATCTTTTAAGTGTAGTAACCGAACCTTCTACACTTTAAATGATTCTTAAAACGCCTCGAGTAAATTTCGCAGCGTATTAAATTCGAAAGCAACAATCGAACACTTCCACAACCTAAAAATTTATCAAATTAAATAAATATAGAAATTACCAATCTAGCCGTAAAATTTCCACTAAATATAATCAAAAATTCAATTTAAGGCATTTACAAAGTAAATTTTTGAATACAGAATCTACGTAGAAAAATGTTAAATATAAACATAACACATTTCGCATTGGGAAACAGAAAATCCTGTATTTTAAGTTATTACTTCATTAAATTTTAATTTTCAGTCGATTAAAATAGTAAAGTATTGTAAACAAATTGTTAAAAATAAACAAATGTTAATAAATAGACTTAAAATTAATTTAATCGTCGTACCTAAACAAAGCATGCCCCTTCAAATATGAGAATAAAACATTTGAAAATTCAAAAAGTAATTCTCGACGCGGATTGGCTAAAGATGTCGCATTCTAAACATCGATTGGTTGAAAAGTCGAAATTCGGAAGAGCTACGCGTATTTTTACTCCCGCAATATATACACATACTTTTTCAATCGAAACTATAAAAAAAGAAAAAGATTTACGAAGAAAAATATCTATATATTATTTGACTGTATCTCCTATAAATTTTTTTCCAAACCAAAATCCTTAACTAGTATCAAAAACATATCTTTCATTCAGTAAAACTCGGTTGTTTTATATGGAATTTATTGGAATTCTACATCAGAAATAAGCTACTTATCATATGTAACATAAACCGTTAATGTACTGTACATCGACTGGTAAGTTGTCTGTCTGCAGTGTTATAACAACTGTTGTTCTATTATCTTCCAAAAATCGATCATTTCAACATGGCGGTGATTCGTCGATTATTATCTCGATCGTATTCTCTTTATCCTCCCAAAATTCAACTCATCGCTATTAAATTAGAGATTTATATTTAAATTTACGGAATTATTGTTTCGAAAACTTATAGGTTTAGAAAAAATTAAGGAATTTTTCGATACTTCGGAGCTTGGAAGATTTATCGGAATATCGAAATTATTATATTTTGTAGTCGTACGAAATTGATTGTTGCCATTTTCAATTCCATTTCCTTTCCGATGTTTCCAATTTGAATATTATGGTGATTTGTAAATTTGGTTATTCGTTACCTTAATCTTATTCTCTATTACCAAGAAGTGTGGAATCGTCTACGATTAAATTTAGAGAATTATATCTAAAGAATATAAACGTAATTACCAAGTACAGTTACATATACTAGTATGAAATTAGTGTTCGATTCTTTAGATGTAATTCCCCAAATTCCTTACACATACTTCTGTAAATTTCAATACACGATACGCTCGTCGAGAGAAGTAGTTACGAGCCCGGACGAATTGTCCCATTACTGTAAAATTTGGCACGCGGCTATGTGTCAGACAGATACGAAAAGCGATAACGGTTGTGGTCCTCCGATTACTCGCCGGATAATTACCAGAATGCTTTAAAATCCCTACTCCAATATTTTAAATACGCGCAGAGATTGGCTGTGTCCGAAATTTCGGCACACCCGTTCGGAGTCTTCAAACTTCGCGCCTGCCCGTACGACGCGGTTAAAGGCCTGACGCCTAATTTGGGAAAGACTGCATCGTAGGATCAAGAAAGTGGAATGGTCTTTTTGCCGAACTTTCCGTCTTCGGCCATTTTCGAGTGATAAGGATCTAAAATGGCGAATGCGCAACTGCCAGGATATGTACCAGAATGCCATATCTGGGCAAGAATAGGTCTTACGAGATACGAAATTTTTCTTCAAATTACACCGTTGTTCCGTATGAAAGTGTCTTTAACGCTACGAAATTGAAATCGCTTGTTACCCTCGCTAGTTTTGTTTCATTCCTACGCCTCTTCTTTGGTGCACAATTTTTTGCTGTCGAGTATAATTTTGTATATCCTTTGTCAGATTATTTAATACGCGAGTCGGGTATTAGAAGTAAGAAAGAGTTTAGTCGATCCCTAACTTCCCCAAAACATCCTTTCTATAAAATCCCAAAATTTTTTCAGTATAGAAAGAATTTATGGAGTTTTTCTATTTAACATTTCTTTATCAATTTTTGCAATTATCAAAATAATATAAATAGATTTTTTATAAATTTTTATTTCCTTTTCTTGTTCTTACGAAATTAAATTTTTATAATTTATATTGTTTAAGTTTTTATGCTTTTATGGGTGTTTTCATCATTTTGAAAGTCATTAAGTTGATTCTATGATGTTTAATTTCTTCTTTTTTTAATTATAAATAAAGTTAATTAATTATTTGAAAATCAATTAGCTGTTATAAACCTTGTAAGTTTAAGTTTTTTTTTATTAAATGGGAAAAATTCTTCCGTGTAATTGCATAAAGTACTCTTTAATAACTTTATCACCAGAGAAAACAAATCATTATTAATTAAAGCAAAAAAAAAGAATGACGTGGTAATAAGATTTGAAAAAAACGGAAGAAAGAAAAGCATTAATCCTAAATTTGTATGAATGAAAAATTTAGTTAAGTCTTCGGAATGACTTTATTCAAAGTTCGGTGAAGTTTCGTCTGTCGACCGAGTTTTTAATTAATTATAAGAACAGACAGAGTCTTATTAACAAGTTGATAACAGTTGAAGAAATCATTAGTTTGTCGAAAGTATTAAAAAAAAGACAAGGGACGACTAATGTCGATCCTTTTAATTCTCGGCCGGGGGCAGATTTCTCCTATTGTCCGTAACCGAAGACAAGACGTAAACAGCCACGAAAGAAACGGGTCGACGAACTTAATGTTCATTGCGCCTATCATCAATCAAGTTTAATTTATAAAAGATATCTGTAGCCAACTCGTAATGTTTTTCCAATAAATGTGTGCAACATTTGTTCGAAAAGTCGTCGTTATTCTTCTGATGATTATCGATCCTACGTGTTGCTATTCTATTCTTTTCTCACTTTGCCACCGTTATTTCGTTCCGGTTTTATAATGTCGTTCCCCGTTTTAACTAGATGGACGTCGTAACGGGCGTAACGAAACGAACAAGTCCGACATAAAATAATTATAGTTACAAAATTATGCTAATCGGGATGCCGGCAATATGCTAATTATTATGTCGAACCATTATTAGTAATTATAATGATAATCACAGATTAGCCATAATTATTATTCAGTATTCTACATAAATTAATCATCATTAAGTAGCTAATGGGCATAACTTAATCATTGTTTATTAATTACTGTATACGTAATTAGTTGGGCACAAATCAAATTACCGTTTATACTTCAATATTGGATTATATAATTAGAAAATTGACATACGTAAATGATAAAAATAAAGTTAATCGTCATTAATAATAAAACACTGTAGGTTAGGCAATACTATTATTCCCACGGATCAGGGTTTCTACGGCCCAAAAATCAATTAACCATTGGGAAATGAAAGCTTTTTCATTGTGACTTCTATCGGCATTAAGTTAAAAATAAAATTGTTCCGCGAGAGATCCCTGGGTTAAACGAATTTGAAGACGAAGGGTCTTCATTGGTCGTAATGATCCGATTGATTTCATGGAATAACAATCCGCGTTACCTGTTACACGTATTCGTGTGAATGTACTGTACAGTACCGTCTGTAGGATTAACCGAGTCGTCGACTATTCTCTATTTATAAACATATGCTTAGAATTCCGTCTATCGAAATATCTTCGGTTCCTAACAAGGGGAGGTGAGGTGGCCGGGTGGCCGTCACAGATTTCGGCCACGTCGTCTGCGTGGAACGAACCTTCGTTCGGTAAGAGGGGCAAAGCGCCCTTCTCGAACGTTTTCGACAAAATCCAAGTTAAAGAATTGTCGACCACTTACCGTGGTGAAATTTATGGCGGTTGAGCCAGAGCTCGCTCTATTCGAATTTGCCAGATGACCGGTCTATTGGAGTCTGGACCATATCCATGCAATTTTCCGTAAAATAATTAAATCGTTGCATAAGTTTACACATTTTGCCTATTTATTTTCTATTAAAATATTCATTTTCTTTCTTCAAAAGTTTGTCTGGGGAATTATTGGGAAATAAATTGAAACTTTCTCTTTAAAACCGGAATAAATATTTTATGGTTTTTGGCTCTATTACTTTTAAGTTACAACTTTAATTTATGTTTACCGTTTACTTGTTTTATTAGGTAAGAAAAGGGAATACCGATTACGATATGAACGATAAGAAACCGGAGAAGCCACGTGGAAAGAACGATCGTTTACCGTCACATTTCATAATTGAATGAGATATGGGGAGCGAGTCGAAACTAATAATCTTATGAATTCATTCAATTGCTTAAAATCTTAGATTGTCGACGATACTTTTTTCATTCCTAACTGTAAAACAGTTTTAAATTTATTTTTAACGGACGGCAATACCGAAAATCAATTTTCATAGAAAGAAAATAAATAGCTAGGCGTAATTTACCGTCACTTTACGTAAAATTTGCACGGATTTCAAAAAATTCCATCCCACCCGCGATCCGGCAAATTTCCGATAGGTCGCTCCACCACCTGTTTTTTAGTGGAAAACTTTGAACTTAGATCATGGAGAAAATATTGGAGAAGGGCGCTTTGTCCCTTCTGCCGGACGGAGATTCGTACCCGGCTCGGTCCAGGCCAACGACCTGGCCGAAATCTGTGACAGTCGCCCGATCACCCCCCGAGAGATAAAGTTAACTTACGTGTTGTCGTGTCCGTTTGTATTGTAAAGTACTTTATAATGTAAACGTCATGGTGAATTACTTTACTAAAAAATGCGTGTCATTTTCCCGGATTACACGATTTCCAAGGACATCTGACCCAGTTACCGGTAGCTGTATTTGAAATTCGTTGCTTTCCCCTGGCTAAACTAACGTTTGTGCTATTTATAGCTTCGCGAACAAATTGCCGCTACTTGTCGTTATTGTAACCGATATTTTATCTTCCTTACGAGTATCCTACCGGCTAATTTTTAGCTCTCCCATCGAATCTTATTTTATTCCTAATTTAGTTACTTAATAAATTCGATATCGTAAAATTACGATATTCAATTTATTAATTAATTTAACGAGCGATTCTATAATTTTTATAATACGGTATTTATTTTAGATTTTATGTTCCACCGATTAAATTGAAATCTTTGAATATATAGTTAATGATATATTTGCTTCTGAATGTACTAAACAAAAACTTTATGTCTAAGCAAAATTATCCACTTTGCGAATACTTATTTTAACTTCTGCCATATGTGGACTCGTACACTGTATAGGGCCTATAAACAACTACAACGTATAATTTTTAAATGCTTTCAGCCGTAACCAGTAATTTAATTTTCCTTCAATAGATAACAACGTATTTGTCAACGAAAGGAAGAAATTACTCACTCCTCCGTATTAGTCAGTGACGATACAAAAGAAAACACACAAATCGAAACAAAAGAACAAAAAGCCAGCGTA